CGAGAAAGAAAAAAAGAAAAAAAAAGGCGCGCCCCTCCCCCCGGGGGAGTTCAAACGTCGCAACACCCACCCCCGCCGCTGATTGGTCAGCGCTGGGTGACGTCACGATGCCACGCTCCGCCCATTGGTCCCCGCCGCGGTCCGTCACATCCCGCGCCGGGGCGCGTTTCTTTGTGCGCGGCCGCGGGCGCTCCAGACGGCGCGCACGGAGCCGGCGCGCACGTACGGGCGGGGAGGGGGGAAAGCGGGGGAATCTGTCAAGCTCAGCGGTTTTCTCAAATCCCCGACCAAAAAAAAAAAAAAAAAAAAGAAAAGAAAAAAAAAAGGCAGCTGCGGCGCAGCCCTGCGCACCCGCGCTCCCTCCGCGCCCAGACCCCGCGCAGACAATAGCGAATTCCCTTTGCGAAAGCGTGGGAATCGAGTTAAAAATACAAAAACAAGTTTAAGCGGCGCCGCGTCCCACGGGCAGGGATAACAGGGATAACACGGATAACAGTGCAAGAGAAACTTTGCGGGCTCTGGCGGCTGGCGGCACTTTCTTTTTTTTTCCTTTTTTCGCATTTTTTCTATATTTTTCATGGCTAAAATCGACTCGCAGCCTTTGGGAACCGGAAGGGAAAACCCGCCGCAGTCAACTGCCGCCGGCTCTTAGGTGGGATGTGTTGGGATTTTTTCTTCCCCGGGGTTTTGGGCTGATCTCGGGGTTTTGGTGGCTGCGCCGCGGGGCGAGCCGGGGTCGGGGCGGACGTGCCGCCAGCTCTCCCCGCTCTGCCGGGTGGGCTCCTAGTGCCCGGGACTTTGCAGAAGTTACGAGCGATTCGGCAGCCTCCCGCCCACCTCCCTCCTCCTCTTCTCCTCCACCTCCTCCTCCTCCTCCCCCCCGCCCCCGCGTATTTCCGCAATCGCCGCGATTCGCACAGGAGACCCGCACCGGGGGGCGGCGGGGCTCACGGACATCCCCCGCACACCCCCGGCTGCGGGCCCGCAGTGTCCCGCCCCCGCCGAGCCCCTTCCCAGCCGCGGGGCTCCTGCGGGGGGGGGTGGTGCGAGCGCCCCTCGCACGGGTAACCCCCCATCCTGCACGGGTAACCCCCTATCCTGCATGGAAAACCACGGATAAAAACCCTTCCTGAACGGGGAACCCCCTTCCCTTCTGCACGGCTACCCCCCATGCGCACCCCCCGGCACCGGCAGCCCTCCCCGGCGCGGGGAAGCCCCCTTCCCTTGTACCAGCAAAGCTCCTTTGCTGCACCGGCAAAGTTACCTGGCACTGGCAAACCCCCCATCCTCCTTTGCACCCCCCGTGCTTTGCAACCCCCCCCCCCAGGCTTTGTCCCCCTCCCCGGTGCGGTGAAGGTGCGGGGCACCCCCCGGCCGGGCAAGCCCCTGGCGGGGGAGGACCGATCGTGCCCGCAGCGCTGCCGTGCCTGGCAGCGATGCAGCAGCCGAGCTGCAAAGTCTCCAACTTACACGGCACCCCTAAAATAGTCCTGATTTCATCCCTGAAAGGATTTCCTGGCTTTGTGTGTCTTAACTAGCCTTGGCCATTTTTGTAGAATAACCCCATTATTCACAGCTCCGAGGGTACAATCTGCTAAAGTCACTTAA